ATATACTCGGACACCTGCTTCCTGAACAGATGACAATTTAATGTTAGTTAACACAGAGCTTTTATACCATTTGTAAAGGGGCAAGACAAAGAAAATTCCTTCATGTACATATGCTTTAAAAGTTACCACCATCTAATGGTCTAGAAGCGACAAACAAGCCAAGAACACTATCTACTTTTAGTTAATGAGTCTTTATCATAAAGCCAAAAATGATAGTTTAAGTTCAAAGTCCCGAATTACAGTCCTTGAAATGTCTCAAGAAAGTTTCCAGGTGCACAGTTCTCCATGTAGCAGGAGTTTTTCTCTTTTGGGCTTCTATGACCGTCAAAGCTTTGTAATCACCTTTCTTGTCCAGGTGTCTTTGTTACTTTTCTCTTATCCTGCAGTGTTTATTTCTAAAGAAAACTCAAAAGAAGATTTTAGTGATGTTTCCCAGGCCCCCAAGGTTGCTTTCTGTCTTTAGTTAATTTATCATAAAAGTATCCAATTAGTATATTATGAATTCAGTGAAAACCCACTCTATAAATGTTAATTTAGAATTTTTTTTTTTTTTTGAGTTGGAGTCTCACTCTGTCGCCCAGACTGGAGTGCAGTGGCCACTCCCAGCCACCGCAGCCTCGACCTGCTGGGCTCCGGCAATCCTTCCGCCTCAGCCTTCTGAGTAGTTGGAATTACAGGCATGCGCTACCACACCTGGCTGATTTTTTGATTTATTGTAGAGATGAGGTCTTGCTGCCCAGGTGGGTCTTGAACCCGCGGGCTCAGGCAATCCACTCACCTCAGCCTCCCAAAGGCGTGGGATTACAGGCTGAGCCACCAAGCCCAGCTAACTTAGAATTTTAACTATTGAATTAAGTAAAAACCTAAATGGTTAATCTTCATCCTAAATCTGTGAAAACAGTGTTATAAATCACCTATATAACTCCTAGATAAGTGTTAGAACTTATAATGAATTCATAATGAACTTACTATAAACTTGTGCCACTAAAAAACTTTATGTACAACACTAAACTACATAATTCTAAATCAAATAAGGAGTGAATATACTTATATCATTTATTACTTAAGCAATATCTAGTAACTTATAACCAAGTGAAAGAAAGCATTCTTGATGTGCTTCAGAGCTTAACCCCTGCATATGTTAGAAAAGGCCAAATGGCATAGTGGGAAATGGAAAAATGGGCCATGACATTTCCAGGTTAGCTGTGAGTACTTCGCATAAACATGCTGTTTTCTTCTTCCACAACTGCACAGAATTTCTTCAGCCATACCAACAGCAAAGATGGAAGACAGAAGAGCCTCAGCTGCCTGGGCTCGCTTTGCGGCCGGGGGTCCTCAGCGCACCTGGACTTTGTCAATCAGGCGGGCCTCCAAGCCTGGCTCCCAACACCAGTCTTCAGGGAATGGCATGAGTGGTGGAGATGCCCTGTTTCCTGGATATGCATTTTTGTATCCTCTCATTTGGAAATGTGTCAGTTAAGGTGGCTGTGTCAACATTTTAACTTTTTTAAAAATTATTTTTAATACTAAATGTCTTGCTATATTGCCCAAACTGATCTCGAACTCCTGGACTCAAGCAAGCCACCCACCTCAGCCTCCCAAAGAGCTGAGATTCTAGGTGTGAGCCACTGCACCCAGCTGTTGACTGTTTACTAACATTGGAAACACAAACAGAGGAATTTAAGTCGCATTCCTTAGAAGGCAACAGATTCTATACTGATAAGAAATTCTGGGTTAATTTTTTGTGAGTTGTAAAATTATGACAACTGCCACTTATTCTAACAGATGAAGAAACTGAGGCATCCAGTAGTGCTGAGGTGAGCACTATGCATAGACAATGGCATTTACCACCTATACAGTATGATTTGATAGGTGCTTAAACTCCTCACTGCCCCAAATTTTGTCCTCTGACGATCTTCCAGCATATTTGTAATTCCTTCTGTTTACAATTACTCCTTCAGGGCCATCTCAAGGTTCTCAATAGATGCTTATTTGAATGACTGAACAAATGAGAGACTAAAGACTTACTTAAATTGGATATATGCCTTATCTGAAAAGGGTAACAGATTATTGGCTTTAGTATTACTTAGAATATATGTATATGATTTTGAGAGAGGAGATAGCTAGAGATAAAGTAGGCAGACATACAGGGCAGGTCCCCCAGTAACAATGCAGCGAACTTCCAGCAGGCCTCTGGACCGATACATTCATGTTGGTAAACAAACGCCCTGCAAGCCTCTCAAGCTAGAGCTTAAGTACCCACTTCTGGGATAGAAAAACAACCAATCAGCTCACCATTAGGCCCCTACCTCCTGCTGATTGGGCCTCAGTACTGACCAATCAGAATAGCTAGTGTCTACCAATCAGCTCATAGCTAGTGCTAGCCAATCGGATCAGTCTTAGGGCTACATAAGCACCAGATTTCAACCCCAAATTGGCAAGCTCCTCAGGTCTCATGCCAGGGTGGGAGCTTTTCTGTCCTTGGTAAATCCTGCTTTCTCACTTTCTGGCCATCAGGTGTCCCTCGTTCCTCCTGGGCACAAGACAAGAACCCCTACATAAAGAGCTGTAGAGCTGCAGAAGATTGTCAGAGCCCAGGAGCCTGCACCTCAGAGGCTGGCTTGCCAGCTGACAGAGCCAGCTGAACTGGGATAACTCCTGGAAGAAGGCAAGACTCCGAAGCTGAGACACTTCTGGGGGCTGCAACACTCTCAGGGTTTGGCTTGCCAGCCCTTTAGAGCCAACATTCTGGGGGCTAGACTTGCCAGCCCACCAAATCAGCAACATTCTCAGGGCTTGGCTTGCCAGCCCATTAAAGCCAACACTTCTGGGGCTAGGCTTGCCAGTCCATTAAGCTGACTTTCTCTGGGGTTGGCTGGCCCACCCATTAAGCTGACCTGAAAAATCTATGTCAATTTAATCCATTATTAACTACTAGCTAGGTGCAGGGCTTTGATGGAGGAGGATCCAGTAGGGTGATGTTTTATGTAGTGAAAAGGCAGGAAAATGTCTCAAGTTTTTAGAGCAGTGCCCTTGGCTTCTAGAATCTTAGAAAAAGTAGTAGAAGGCTGGGCGTGGTGGTTCAAGCCTGTAATCCCAGCACTTTAGGAGGCCAAGGAAAGAGGATTGCCTGAGCCCAGGGGTTTGAGATCAGCCTGGGCAACTTGGCAAGACCTTGTCTCTATAATAAATTAAAAAATTAGCCAGGCGTGGTAGCGCGTGCCTATAGTTCCAGTTACTTGGAGGGCTGAGATGGAAGGATAACCTGAGCCCAGCAGGTCAAGGCTGCACTGCACTCCAGCCTGGGTAACAGAGTGAAACTCCAATTTAAAAAAAAGTAGAAGTGTATTACAGTACAGTAGGAGAAGCATACAGTTTAACCTGGATGCTACATGTGTTTTGCAATATCAAATGAAAGTGAAAAAGGTGAGAGACAATACAATATACAAATGTTACATACTTCACAATACATTCTCTAATAAATTCTATGGTCCTATGTGGCTCCATCTCTGCAGAAATAAGTTAAACAAATATCAAAAAGCATCAGTAAGTCCAAAAGAAAGTACAAAGGAATAATATCATTGAAGGAAACCCTATTCATAATCCAAAACAACCCTGCTAATAAACCTATTCCTTTAATTCTATATCTGTCTGCTCCAGACTCTCCCATAAATTGACATAATTTTCTTCTTATACCCCTAACTCTAGTTTAACTTAACCTGTCAGGCTGTCCTGCCACCTTTCTACTGCTCCAGTCCTTGGGTTTGCAAGTTCACTCTTTGTTAGCCAAGTGGAGAAATGCAGAGACAGAAGGAATTAGCAAACAGCCTTACTTTAATAAAGCTTGTCCTGATCACTCCAAAGTCTCCTTTGGCTCAATGCAGGGCAATGTGAAAAAAAATTCTTTTTTTCCCGCAAGGTTCAAGTTCAAACTCCAAAGTATTATTCTCATTCTCCTGTTTTCAGCTTGCTTATATTCCAGTGACATCAATAATGACTTTTTACACTATAGATATGAGACAGTGTAACAGTTCTCTGTGATACATATTAGTCAAAGATTCCTGGAGTTCTGGGGAGGGAATAATTTATAGGGGCCTGTGGAGTAAGGGAGAGTTTAAGATTTATATCCCTGGAGCTGCATTTTGAAGATGTGGAAGTTCACAGAATACAGTACTCAAGAAAGTAGCTCCTCCAGGATGAAGTATATAGTGAACAAGGGCAGAGAAGGCAGAACAAAGTCATATTACAAAGAACCTGAAATTCCTTATTAAGAAAGTTGGAGTGAACACTGCAGGAGAATCTCACCATTGTTTATGTCTCTTAGATATCGGTCAGCAGTGTGAAGATAGACTTGAGAGCTACCTTAATAGGTGGAAAGATTATAAGGGATTAAACGAGGAACATTTCAGTAGTAACAGAGAGGCAGGGGCAGATGGAAAGACTTCAGGGATAGCATAGATGTTACTCTACATCCAACACTGTAGGTGAGGTTTTCTCTGATTCACTCTGGCAAGTGGGAGCCATGGGGGCTTTGTTTCTTAAGCTGTCACAATCCTTTAGACACATTTGTTTTGTGCCAATCAGATCGCCCGTTTTTTTAAGGCAGGGATCACATCTTTTCATTTCTGTGTTCCTCCAGCCTTCCAACGACAGGTAAAAAGGAGGCCTCTATGGTTGCTTGTTGAATCGGTAGAAAACAGGCACTAATAAATGGCGGAGATTAGGCTATTTTACAGTAAGAGCATTAGCATTAAAAGTTCAGTGAGAACTGATAACAGACTACACTTACATCAATCTAACCTTCCTAGTGATTTATTTTTTAAAGCCTTTATTAAGCTGCTAAACTCCCCATCCCACAAATAGGCATAAAGGCTAGAATACTAGCTTCAAAGGGCCCTTTTTCCTTAGCTGATTTTATCGAGTGGCTTTGTGTCAGGGGTATTCTAAGAAGATATTAGTCGCTCTTTTCCTCCCTGACTGCCTGAGGATCGACAGCCATCATGAACGACACAATGACTATTCGGACCAGAAAATTCATGACCAACCGTCTGCTTCAACGGAAACAAATGGTCATCGATGTCCTTCACCACGGGAAAGCAACAGTACCTAAGACAGAAATTCGGGGAAAACTAGCCAAAATGTACAAGACAACACCAGATTTCATCTTTGTATTTGGATTCAGAACTCATTTTGGTGGTGGCAGGACAACTGGCTTTGGCATGATTTATGATTCCTTGGATTATGCAAAGAAAATGAACCCAAACATAGACTTGCAAGACATGGCCTGTATGAGAAGAAAAAGACCTCAAGGAAGCAGCGAAAGGAACGCAAGAACAGAATGAAGAAAGTCAGGGGGACTGCAAAAGCCAATGTTGGTGCTGTCAAAAAGTGAAATGAAGGACATACCCTCATGGAAATTGGAACTGGCATCCAATTCCTGAACAAAACCCGAAACCCACAGGCCATAAGAGAGAAGATAGACAAGTGGTACCACATTAAACTGACAAGCTTCTGCAAAGCCAAAGAAACCATCCAGAGAGCAGGGAGACAGCCTACAGACTGGGAAAAAGTATTTGCCAACTCCAGGTCTGACAAAGGCTTAACATCTTGGATCTACAAGGAACTCAAAAGTGCTGAAAAGAAAAAAACAAACAACCCCATTATACAATGGGCAAAAGATATGAACAGACACTTCTCAAAGGAAGACATCCGAGCAGGCAACAGACACATGAAAAAATGTTCAATCTCACTAATCATCAGGGAGATGCAAATCAAAACCACACTGAGATACCACCTAACTCCAGTCAGAATGGCAATTATCAACAACTCAAAAAATAACAGTTGCTGGAGAGGGTGTGGCGAAAAGGGAACACTTCTACACTGTTGATGGGAGTGCAAAGTAGTGCAAGCTCTGTGGAAAACAGTATGGCGATTCCTAAAAGCTCTAAATATCGACCTCCCATATGACCCCGCAATCCACCTGCTGGGAATATACCCTGAAGAACTCAAATCACTCTATAAAAAAGATACCTGCACACGTATGTTTATCGTAGCATTGTTCACAATAGCAAGAACCTGGAAGCAACCATGCTGTCCATCAAAAGAGGACTGGATTTTAAAAATGTGGTACATATACACGATGGAATACTACGCAGCCATAAAAATGAAAAAAATCATGAATTTTGCAGCAACCTGGATGGAACTAGAGTCTATAATACTGAATGACCTCTCACAGAAACAAAGATCTGAGTATCACATATTCTCACTCATATAGTGGACCTTGAACATCCAACATAATACTGTAAGAAAATGACTGACAGTGGTGGGAAACTATGGGGGGAGGAGGGGAAGGGAGATGGGATTAATGGTAGTAAATATCTGTCTGGGGATGGGGAGACACCTCTGATCAACAAGGATGCCTGAATGAAGCATATTTGTATACTTAACCCTTAACTGTACCCCACAATAGCATAATAAAAAATATTGGCTAAAAAAAAAGAAGACATTAGTCAAGACCAAGAACACGGAAAGCACCCTTTTCTAGATCTAGTTGATCTCGACCGCGAACCTGATTCAAGTCCCTATAAACCCCATTTGCGCGCCCGGGTTCCGGAACCAGTACACGGATGCACCGATTTCTAGTCGGACGTTGGAGTATGTTACGCCCGATCGATTACTCTTGCCTGGCGGACCTTTCGGTGAAGGACCGTGTCCCAAACAGCACAGGAAGGAGGATTCGTGGAGGACGTTCGGGTTCTGGGGGCCTAGGCCGCCGCTAAGATTGGGGCGTATGCGCTGGGCCTTTCTGGAGGTCTGGGAAAGAGGAGATTTCAGCTATGTTCGCGCCCGCGATAATGCGGGCTCTGCGCAAGAACAAGACCCTGCGCTACGGAGTCCCCATGGTGGTGAGTGCGGTGGGACCGCGGGCCGAGATGGGAACCGGGGTAGGCTGGGAGGGGCTGGCGACGGGCTTCTTCCGGTCTCCCCTCCCGCTCCGGGCATTTGCGGGTTCCGCCGCCCGGAAGCGAGGACTGTCCCGCGGTCCATCGCTGTCGTGGTGACTGCCCCAGTTGAGACAGCTGCGGCTCGGAGACCACGGTCAGAACAAGGATTTAACCCAAGTCCAGACGGTGACTGCGCGTGATCCCCCACCTCCCGCTATGTCTTGTCGGTGCTGTGGCTCACTGCGAATTCGACGTAATTTATTTAACTGCCCAACATCTGATATCTTTCTGTGACCGCTTCCTAGTTTGTGAATTGGCTTAATTTGTCCAGGGCCATTGTGTTGAACTAATTAAGATTTTATGAATGAAAGTGTTTTGTGCCGTACCTGCCTCTGTAGCCCCCCTCAAAATGGCCTCTGGGATACAGTTTATGTTTCTATGGCTGCATCCAATGCTATACTGAATTTCATAAAGAGGTCGTAGAGATAGGTTGAGGTTAGCATCAGATCAACCAGAGTTGAAATCCAGACGACCCTCTTTATTTGCTCTTTGATCATAGGCAGGTTATTTTGATTCAGCAAACTGGATGTCATAGATGATTTAAGTAAAGCATGTAAACAGAAGATGCTTTCTCATAAATATAGACTACTTTGTTACTTTGGTATGGATATTGGCACAGGGGGAGTTACCCATTTTTGCGTTTAAGCAGACTAGAGGAAAAAAGTGACTTTAGAAAGGTAATGGGTTTTCTACTCGTCTTTGAGGAATCTGGATTTTAGGAAATTATTATATATTTTTTAAGATTTTAAATATAACTGTCTTTGGATAAGATAATGTAGTAATTATGTTTGTGTACGTGACAGAGCATGTGTAAAAACTGTCCTCTCAGTTCCACCTACTTGGAAGGCTGAAGCAGAAGGATCGCCTGAGCCCAGCGGGTTGAGGCTGCGGTGGCCATGAGCGTGCCACGGCACTCCAGCCTGGGTGACAGAGTGAGACTCCAACTCAAGCAAACAAAAACTATCCTCTCTGCAGATTTCTCTACCACAAAATAGAGGGCCATTTAGAAGCACTGTTATTGTGATCACTGCATGTTTCAGTTGAAGCCAGTTTGATTTTGTTTTTTACCTTTAAAATCATCAAAGTCCTAAAACTACTAAGCATTGAAGTAGCTTCTAGGATTTTGCGTTAGTTCAGAACCTAGGAAATACCACAGTAGCCGTCTTCCCAAGTATGTGCCTCTAGATTGCTGTCTTTGGACCTTGGGGACTATGTTGGTGAATATGGGCCCTAAGCATGCAAATTAAGTTGACCTTTGAACAACCTGAGTTTGAACTGCATGGGTTCACTTATACACAGACTTTCTTCTGCCTCTGCCACCCCTGAGACAGCAAGACCAACCCTTCCTCTTTCTCTTCCTCCTCTTCAGCCCAGTCAATGTAAAGATGAGGATGAAAACCTTTATGATTATCCACATCCACTTAATGAATAGTGAATGTATTTTCTCTTCCTCATGATTTCCTAATAACATTTGCTTTTCTTTAGTCTACTTAAGAATGCAGTACATAATCCATATAACAACAAAATGTATATTAATTGACTATATTGTAAGTAAGGCTCCTGGTTGACAGTAGGCTATTAGTAGTTCAAGTTCGGAGGAGTCACAAATTATTCATGGATTTTTGGCTGTGCAGAATCGTTGGCATTTCTAACTCTTATGTTCAAGGATCAACTGAGGAAAATGCTGTATTCAATACTCTAAAACTCATCACTACTAGAACTCAAAAGATACATCCTCATCGTGAATCAACCAGATATACCATAATTACTATATTTGTCTTCAAGTTGATATTTTTTCCTATCTTGGCTAAATATTGCTTCATGGGAATCTTTATTCAATAGCAACATACAGAAGAGAACTTAAATACTACTATATGCTAATGGTACTCCCCTTCTCTTCCAAACCACTTGAAAAAGATAATATATTTCTTGTTTCAATTTCCAGACTGCCCACAGAATTTACCTTTTTTTTTTTTTTTTTTTTTTGAGTTGGAGTCTCACTCTGTCGCCCAGACTGGAGTGCAGTGGCCGCTCCCGGCCACCGCAGCCTCGGCCTGCTGGGCTCCGGCGATCCTTCCGCCTCAGCCTTCCGAGTAGCCGGAATTACAGGCATGCGCCACCACGCCCAGCTGATTTTTCGAACCCGCGGGCTCAGGCAATTCACTCACCTCAGCCTCCCAAAGGCGCGGGATTACAGGCTGAGCCACCGAGCCCGGCAGAATTTACCTTTTTAATCTGACCAGCAACCTACTGGTTCCTACACACCAAAAAATTAACTCATTTACAGTGCTCAATTTGTTGCTTTTAGTACTAATATATTCTATGTTAGTATGCTAATATATAAGTATATTCTGCTATGCCACCATCCCCACAAATTTGGAACATTTTCATCACCCCAAGAGGGCCATCATAAACCATTAGTAGTTACTTGCTGTTCCCCCCGTCTCTGACCCCACCTTAAGCAACCACTTATCTACTTCTTCTATCTTCTGATTTTGCTTATTGTGGATATTTCATATTAATGCACTAATACAACATGTGATCTTTTGTGACTGGCTTCTTCCACTTAGAATGTTTTTGAGATTCATTTAGGATGTAGCATGTATTGACATTTCATTCCTTTTTATGACTACATAGTATCCCATTGTTTGGATATATAATATTTTATCCATTTATCAATTGATGAATATTTGGTTATTTCCATTTTTTGGCTATTATGAGTAATGCAGTGACAAACATTTGTGTACAAATTTTATGTGGAAATATATTTTCATTTCTCTTGTATAGATTATATATCTAGAAGTGGAATTGCTGGGTCATATGCTAACTTTGTTTAAACTTTTTGAGGAAGGGCCAGATATTATTCAGAGTCTGCATCATTTTACATTCCCACTAGCAATGTAAAAGTTTCAGTTTCTCTACATCCTTGCCAACACTTGTTATTATCCATCTTTTTTATTATTACCTTTTTTAATGGATGTAAAGTGGTATCTCATTATGGTTTTGATTTGCATTTCCCTAATGACCAATGATATAGAGCAACTTTTCAAACGTTGATTGGTCATTTTTGTATCTATTTTTTGGAGAAATGTCTGTTCAAATCCTTTATATTTTTAAATATATATATTTTTTCCCTCTGCCTAGTTTTTTATTTTATGAAACCACCTATGAGGCTTAAGTGGGAGACAGGTTCTAACTGTATGTATAAAAATGTTGGCATCAAATTATTTCTGCTGTGCCCATTTTTTAATTGGACTGTTTTTCCTGTTATTAGGAGTTTCCTTAAAACTTTGAGCCAGCAAGTCTCCCAGTCTTTGTATCAGGGCTCTGCATGGTTTTTGAGGTATGCCTTCAACATTCAACCATGTAGTTTACAGCTCTACCTTAAGCCCTCGCTTCTTGCTTGCTCGGAGCTTTAAGATTAACCATTGATGAGAATTTAGGGTCTTCTGTCAGATTTTCTCAGATCTGCCTTGAGCATAAATATTGCTCTGGGCTTACATTCACTTATGTTCACATGCATGACTTGCTAAATTCTCAGGCATGTGTTTGAGCTTTTCAGAGTCTTCTACGGACACCTTGTTCCTCAAACTTTCTTCTTAAGCTCTTTGGTTACCTGTTGTTCTGGTAACTGTTAACCATCACCTTAGTTGAGTTCCAAGTCAGATAAACTCAAGACAACCTTGTGAGTTGGATTTTTCCAGGAGCCACCAGACCTGTCAAATAATGACAATTTTCAGGAAATGGGATTTTAAGGAACTCCAACCCTTCTGCCACCTCCAGTGGGTGCCAAGCTTTACATCATGTTTGTAGGCTGTTGATTTTCATGTTAGCATGGAGTGGGAGTGCAGGGATGAGGATAGGGCAAGTTAAAAATGCTACCAAGCCTTCTGCTTTTTCTGGCAGTCAGTCATTTTTCCTAACTAAATGCACCCCACATTGCTGCAAGCCTTTGCTTAATTTCCAGAGTTCTGGAAAATGTTGATGCAATAGTTTTTTGCAAGTGTTCTCATTGATTTTATGGAGGAGAAGATATTTGGAGATCCTTATCCTACTACCATTTCACTGATATCACTCTGGTTATTTCATATATCTTCAATATCTTTGATGAGATTTTCTTTTTCTTTTAAATCAGGGTCTCACTTTCTTGCTAAGGCTGCAATGTAGTGGCACGATCATGCTTCACCGCAGCCCCAATCTCCTGGGCTCAGGTGATCCTTCTACCTCAGCCTCTCAAGTAGCTGGGACTACAGGTGTATACATGCCTGACTAATTTATTTTATTTTATTTTTGTAGAGACAAGGTTACGCAGTGTTGCCAAAACCGGTCTCGAAACCTGGGCTCAAGTGATCCCCCCACCTTGGCCTCCCAAAGTGCTGGGATTACAGGCATAATCCACTGTGCCCAACCTTTGATGAGATTTTCTGATATTCCATTTATTTCATGAGAAATAGATGAAGCATTGTTTAAATTAAATTTTATTTCATAATAGAGATGTATGAAGCATTTTTATGATGGTTCCTTTGAAGTCTTTGTTAGATAATTCCAATCTCTGTGTTAGCATGTTGGGATAGTCTATTTATTTATTTATTTTTGAACTAGATTCTCACTCTGTCACCCAGGCTGGAGAGCAGTGGCACAATCATGGCTACCGCAGCCTGGACCTGTGGGGCTCAGGCAGTCCTGCCTCAGCCTTCTGAGTTGCTGGAACTACAGGCGTGCACCACCACGCCCGGCTAATTGTTTTTTTTAATTTATTGTAGAGACGAGGTTTCGCCAAGTTACCCAGGCTGGTCTTGAACACCTGAGCTCAGGCAGTCCTCTCACCTCCACCTCCCAAGGTGCTGGGATTTGCAGGCATGAGCCACCACATCCAACCTCAACAGTCTTTCGAAGGTCAAGTTTGTCTTAGTTTGCTTCTGTTGCTTATAAAGGAATACTTGGGGTTGGATAAATTTGTAAAGAAAAGAGGTCTATTTGGTGTATGGATCTGCACACTGTACATGCTGTGAAGCATGGTGCCAGTGTCTACTTCTGGTGAGGCCTCAGGCTGCTTCCATTCATGGCAGAAGGCAGAAGGGAACTTGTTTGTGCAGAGATTATGTGGTGAGAGAGGAGGCAAGGAGGGAGGGAGGGAGGGAGAGAGGGAGGGAGGGAGAGCCAGTCTCTTTTTAACAACCAGCTCTCAAGAGAACTAGCAGAGGAAGAATTCACTCATTACCTCGAGGGTGGCACCAAGCCATTCATAAGGGATCCACATCACTCATGACCCAGATACCTCCCACTAGACCCCACCTCCAACATTGGAGATCAGATTTCAATATGAGGTTTGGAGGGTCACATACCCTAACTATAACAAAATTGTTATTTTCCTTGCTATGACAAGTGAATTTTTATTATATCTTGGACATTTTGAAAAGAAAGTTATATCCTATTTAAGTCTCCTACTTTAACAGGAAGTCGCCATGTTAAAGTTTAGCTTGTAGGTAGTAGCCTGTTATTTTGGGATTTCTTTCCTGACATTTTAGGTTCCAGAGCCTTTGCAGTGGTCTGTTCTGCTCTATTCACCTGGTGCTATTGGAGTTCCTGCTTGGTGGTGTCTATGTGGGATGTTGTAATCAACGTTGAACTGTTTTTAAAGCTATCAGATTGATTGAGATTGCAAAAGAAGTGAAGAGATAGAGAAGACCAAGCATTGTGCTTGGGGCCCTGCCAACATTAGAGAGTTGAGGTGTATAGGAGGAACAATGAAGGAGGAGACTGAGGAATGACTCTGTGATAAAAGAGAAACCAGATAAAAAGGAAGAGGAGAATGTGATCCACTGTTAGATCTTGCCCATAAAATAAGATTAGAACGGAGAGTTAACCACTGGATTTAGTAATGTGGATGTCATTGGTGGTTGGAAATGGATCTAAGAGAAAATAGGAGCAGCAAATATAGACAACTCATTTGAGAAATTTTACTGCATATAGAAACAAAGAAGTTGGTTAGTATCTGGTAGGAAAGTGAAGTCCAGGAAAGTTGATTAGTAATAGCAGAATAATAGGGGAAATAATAGCATTTTTTATGATGAATTGTGTAGTGTAATGAAGAAGTGTCTTTCAGTAGATAAGGGAAGATAGAATTTAGTGTACTAATGAAGATAGTTAGGATCATGGATTCTGTGGTAACAAGAAGTAAGTGTTGTGTAGTTCATACACGAACTAGACACACACAGACACATACACACGCGCGCGCTAACTGTTCACAGTCCTTCCCAAAACTCCCCTCACCTCAGACACCAGTCACAAGCTTCGTGATTCTTAGACACTGATACTTCTGACAAACTGGTTAAAAAGGAAGACTGAGGCGGAAGGATCGCCGGAGCCCAGTAGGTCAAGGCTGCGGTGGCTGGGAGCGGCCACTGCACTCCAGTCTGGACGACAGAGTGAGACTCCAACTCGAAAAAAAAAAAATAAAGTTTATAGCCTCAAGGTTTTGTTAGTATTCTTAACTTTAAAATATAAAAGTTTATATTTTATAATGTTTTATACTTTTTATCTTTAATTAGTTAATTGGTAATATAAATATAGTGTTTTCCCAAATGACTAAACCTTTGCAGCTTTAAGATGAAAGATTAAAGCCAATTAGAATTTTAGGTTAAATGATAAAGCAGCAGTGGCAGTTTGGGGATTTTTTTTAAAGATGTGGATATAATTCAATATACAAATGTTCATTATTCAGGTACACTTGTTGATGAGGTAAGAATTTGGGGATTTTTTTAAGGTGACCACATACTGAGGAGCGTGGCATATTTCATGAGATTTATCACTTGGTAAGATAATGGGGACTCCAGTTGGCTTATTTTGCAAAATCATAAAATTGAAAGAATTCTGTCCTGAGGAAATGAGGCCAGAGTTTTGTTCCTGGGTTTGCCCTGAGTAATCATAGTGTTAAAAGAAAGAGAAACTTCAAGCAAAATAAGTTTTGCAGCATTTATTTGAGTAAAGAAAATTTATGAATCAGGCAGCATTTGGAGCCAGAGGAGGTTCAGAGAGCTCTGTTTGCAGTGTGAGCAGAGAGTTATTTACAGATAAAACAAAGAAGTAAAGTACAGAAATAGCTCAATTGCTTGGTCTGCTTATTTGGACATGATCTGATCAGTTGACTGATCAAGTTACAGTTTCTTTAAAAAGTACAGGGACAGCCTCAGGCCAAATTTAATTTAACAATGGGCAAGAATTTAGTTGGTTGTGCTTCTATTTTTTTTTATTGCTGATAGGTCTGTTGTAAGAGTAAAATAATATAATGCTTATCATGATGTCATTTAAACCATAAGGTCAAGTACAGTTATGGGATGCTGATTTTGGTATTTGGTAATGATATGCTATAATGTTTCCTAAATAGTATATACTACATCTCCTTCAAAAAGATGAATGGTAACTCACCAGGAAAAAGTAATTTATAGGATTTTATATTATGTGTCTGTTGTTGTTTAGATAAGTAATCTATAGATAGTCTTAATTCTACCCTTCTGTTTTGTTTAAATGTGTCTTTTTAGTTGCTGATTGTTGGAGGTTCTTTTGGGCTTCGTGAATTTACACAAATCCGATATGATGCTGTGAAGATTAAAGTAAGAACTGTAATTGGAGTTTGGCATGTTTGTGTATGTGCATGTTCTAGTTTAGGAGAAGTGTATACTCAGTATACAAAGCAGTCTGACTGTCCTCCTTTTCAACACTAATATATGATGTTTGTGCTTTTTCTTATTCTTTAAAATAACATTAATGATCACATGGAAATGAATCATGAAATGTAAAAGATTTAGTAATCTTCCTTCTTATTCTAGAAAATTAGCAATATTGTTAGCTTTCTCCCACAAAATATGATCTAGTGTAGTTGTTTTTAGGATTTCGCTTCATTCTATTTCTCTAATTGTGAATGTTCTTTCATAATAGTACCAGTAATTTTACAAAGTATATTTATATGTATCTTCAGTAACTGTTACTAAAAAGGAAGAAAATTATTTTTCATTATAAATACAAATACCTATCTTTTTGTAGTGTCTACTTAGTGGTAGGACTATACTAGTTCATACACACACATGCACACACACACACAGATACTCCTTGCAATTCAGTTATGTCCTGATGAACTAATCAAATTGAAAATACTGTAAATCAAAAATCTATTTAGCACCCTGATAAACCATTAGTCAAAAAACTGAAGGGCAAGCCATTGCAAGTCGCGGCCTGTCTATATTATTATTGTCTTTATTTTATAGATGAGAAAACTGAGGCTCAGAAGTCTCAGCTATCTTGTCTAAGGTCATGTGGCTAGTTAGGGGTATAGCTAGTATTCTCACCCTGTATAACTACACCCTGTATAACTGTCAGATTCAGGAAAGGTATTATATAATGACTCTGGTTTGGGCTGGGCACAGTGTTCATACCGGTAATCACAGCACTTTGGGAGGTCAAGGCGGGAGGATTGCTTGAGGCCAGGCGTTCAAGACCAGCCTGGCAACATAACAAGAGCTTGTCTCTCCAAAAAAAACCAAAACAAAACTGTGCTAGGCAGTACACTTCTACTTCTATTTCCAGCTACTCAGGAGGCTGAGACAGAAGAATTGCCTGAGCCCAGGAGGTCGAGGCTACAGTGAGCCATGATCATGCCATTGTACTCCAGCCTGGGCAACAGAGTACAACTCAGAAAGAACTGGTTCATTCATTCAAAAGTACGTAGTTGTTGTTTGTGGCACAGAGCTGATCTTTGTAGGTTTTTTCCAAGTAATGTATGTATTTCATTAGCAGATCTCAGTAATCTTGGTGGAAAAGTGAAGAACACAAAGTCCTTTTCAGCTTTCTCAGTTAATTTTATGGTTTTAGAAAAACCAACTTCAGCCACTCTTAAAGATGGTAGCTATTAGAGTAAATATTAAATTTAAAAATAATGTGTACATAAAAGTTATAGAACAATTTTTAGTTGACTAAAAAATTCCAGTTAACTTTTATTTAACTAACAGTTTTTAGTTTAACAGTTTTGAAAGGTCTTTATCAGAGTTTTGTTTTCTCTTAAAGATGTTAGTTATGGTAGTCTAACATTTGGAAGTGAGAGATTGTGTATGTATTTGAAAAATAATTGAATAATTCTCATGTATTCATCATTTGTAAGAATCCTGCAGATAGAGTATAAAGAAACTAATTCTTTCAAAGCCTATCATTGAACCTGGAAGATATCTCATTTAAATATGTACCCAAATATATAGCAATGTCCAGTAAAATGACATTACTTGAACTTCAGAGAGAGACATACAGTTTAGACTTGGGAAAGGGAATTGAGATTTGCTAAAGGTATCACCCCTTGAATTAGGCTGTAAAGGTGAGTAGGAATTATCTAAATGATAGACATTATTTATTGATTGATTGAATTTTGATTTTTTTTTTTTTTGAGTTGGGTTCTCTGTCACCTAGGCTGGAGTGCAGTAGTACTATCATGGCTCACTGTAGTCTTATAGTCCTGATCCTCCCATCTCAGCCTCCTGAGTAGCTGAGATTATACCATTATGTCTCGATAATCTTTTTTTGTAGAGACAGAGTCTCACTAAGTTGCCTAGGTTGGTATTGAACTCCTGGACTTGAGGAATCCTCCCACTTCAGCCTCCCTTGATGTATATTTTATGAGGTAGAGGGAGTATTGGGCATATGATCAGAGTTTTTGGAAATATTATTCTGGTAGTGGAGTACAAGATGGATGGAACTTGGGGGAAAAGGATAGAAGGGAAGAGATTGTTTAGATTGGAAGTAGACCCGTTAGAATTCTGGGTCAGTAACTGAGAAAACAAGATCAGTTGAAATTAGATAATAAGGTTAAAAGACGAATGTTAGTCAAGATCTACAAGAGGAGGATGAAAGAACAAGGTTGAGGTGAGAAGGATCAAAAAACAAGGCCTACTACAGATTTAGAGGTTGAGATTGATTGATGTTGAAAAATCAAACAGGTGAAATCAAGAGTCAGTGTTTGGGTGAGGTTGAGTTCCAACAACTTAGAGAGAATAGCATGATGTTGAGAGGAGCTAACAGGATGAATTTGTCCTTAAAGATTGAGCAGATAAGATTGATGTTGAGAGGTTAAGGTGGGGGGGGTCAAGATATCAAAAATGCTAAGGTTAAGGGTGTTTGAGACTGGGCTCTAGAATAGGGGTTCCCCAAGCCCTAGGCCATGGATCAGTACTGGTCTGTGTCCTGTTAAAAACTGACTGCATAGCAGGAGTTGAGCGGAGGGCAAGTGAGCTCCATCTTCTGTCAGATCAGCGGCAGCATTAGATTCTCACAGAAGCACAAACCCTATTGTAAACTGTACATGCGAGGGATCAAGCTGCATATTCTTATGAGAATCTAAAGACTGATCATCCTCACCCCCTATCCCATCCGTGGAAAAATTGTCTTCCACGAAACTGGTCCCTAATGCCAAAAAGGGGACCAGTTGTCAAGATGATAAAGTTGGCTTAGAAGGATCAAAAAAGGATGAGTTTAGTTGAAAAATTTGGAGAAGAGTAGAGAGAAGACAGTATTGATTTGAGATGACCAATCATTGTCTACCTCAGACCCCATATTTTAGTACTGAAAGTTTGACATCCCAGGACAGAAAAAATCCTGGTTTTCAGGGGTGGGTATGGAAGATTCATAGGAACCCAAGGCCCTAAAAAATTAAGAGCTAAAAGCAACAGCTCTCAATTTTTAGAAATAGAAATGGCATAGTTTATCTGCCATCCCTAGTGACTGTTGTTTTTCCTCCTGGATGCTGATTCCAAAAACCAAGGAACCACAGTAATGGCTTGTCCATTATTGCATCACACTTAGTGTGACTTAAGTGCTCAACTTAAGTACATTGCAATTGTGAGCAGTATGGTCTTGATTTTTCACATCTGTTATATCTTGTAGCAAGATCGTGTTAAATTTTTAATATTATAAATATTGTGACCATGTTTTCTACATTTCTGATAATGAAAATGAAAACAATTACAATACCAATGTCAGTATGATCCAGACATTGCTGAAAAAGAAAGCTAAATGACTTTGTTATTTTAATGACAGATGGAAGGGCACATACAACTGGACTAAGAAATTAAATAACCAAAACAGAGCATACTGTACAATATGCAAAAGAGAAATTGAGATTAGGCATGGAGGAGACAGGGATATGAAAACACATAAAAAGACTGAATCTCGCAGGTCCAGGAGGAGACAGGCAAGTACTTATAAATTAATCATAAGCTTACTCATCTCCCCTGAAAACACCAGAACTATGCTCAGTATAAAATAGCAGCTGCTGAGTTAGCTTATGCATACCATACCAATGAGAACATGCATGATTATAGTGTTCCCTTGATGGCTCTCTAAAACTGAGTAAAGTTACAGTTTTCTGATTCAGAGGATAGAACTAAAATATCCTGTGGGTGAACCAAAAGGAGGGATTCTGGTATCAGATCTGTTGACTTCCTGCAGTATAGAGTTGATTCTGTTAAATCTTACCAAGGATCATACTTTCTATAGTGTATTAACTGATGAATTGAATCATGGCAACAAGAAATATCTACCTTCACACACTCTGATTTGGAAAAAATTAAGTTTCAAATTATCTTCTGATTTCTTTGAAGATGAAACCACAGAAAGCATAAAGTAAAAAAAATTGCTGGTGGCTCATGTAATCCTAGCATTTTGAGAGGCAGAGGTGAGAGAGTGTTTGAGCCCAGTTTTCTATTTTGTTTCCTATTTGTCTGATTTTGATGTCAGAATAATGCTGGCCTCATAGGATGAGTTTGGAAGTATCTCCTCCACCTCAATTTTTTGAAATAGTTTGAGTAGAATTAGTGTTAGTTCTTTTGTTTTGTTTTGTTTTGTTTTTGAGTTGGAGTCTCACTGTCACCCAGACTGGAGTGCAGTGGCCGCTCCCGGCCACCGCAGCCTCGACCTGCTGGGCTCTGGCGATCCTTCCCCCTCAGCCTTCCGAGTAGCCGGAATTACAGGCATGTGCTACCATGCCCGGCTGATTTTTTGATTTATTGTAGAGATGAGGTCTCGCTGCCCAGGCGGGTCTCGAACCCGCGGGCTCAGGCAGTCCACTCACCTCAGCCTCCCAAAGGCGCAGGATTACAGGCTGAGCCACCGAACCCGGCTTAGTTCTTCTTTAAGATATGTTTTGTAGAATTCAGCCATGAATTTACCAGGCCTTAGGCTTTTCTTTGATGGGAGCCTTTTTATTACGGCTTTGATTTTGTTACTTATTATTGATCTTTTCAGGTTTTTCATTTCTTTATGGTTTAATCTTGGTATGTTGTATAGGTGCAGGAATTTATTTATTCTAGGTTTTCTAGTTTGTTAGTGTATAGTTGTTTATAATAGTCTCTAATGTATTTCTTTGGTATTAATTGTTTGTTTGTTTGTTTGTTTGTTTGAATTGGAGTCTCACTCTGTCACCCAGATTGGAGTGCAGTGGCTGCTCCTGGCCACTGCAGCCTCTACCTGCTGGGCTCCAGCGATCCTTCCGCCTCAGCCTTCCAAGTAGCTGGAGCTACAGGTGCACGCTACCACACCCGGCTAATTTTTTTGATTTATTGGAGAGATGAGGTCT